CTTTTACTCCACCATGTTGACTCCACTCTCTTCTTAATACCCATTCTAATGGGATATAATTGAAGCCTTGACCTCAGGTCATGGCTACAAGCTTTTCCATCAGTATTGACATGTGAAGAGAAGAGAGTCATTTATGCCCTTAAGGCTTTTAGCCCAGTAGATGAGAAACCAGGTCAATCAATTAACAAGCATTTATTAAGCATCTACTTTATGCTGAGGATAGGAACTGGACTTATGATTTCATTAATTTTGGGAACCTTCTCAATTTAGTAGTCTTAGAGGACTGAAATATCAGAGGATAGGACTTGAACCTAGGTCTTCCTAACTTTGAAGCCAATGTTATATGTATTCCACCAAGCTGTCTCTCCCATGCTATGGCACAGTTCCTGCCCCTGGCAAGCTGAAGAGGAGAGCAGGCAAAAAATTTCCCCTGGCTGAAATTAACACAAGATGCTAACCAGGAGATAAATAGGAGTGTTATTAGAAATCATCACATCCTAACAAGCATATGAAAAATGGTTCCAAATCACTAATAATAGACATGCAAATTCAAACAGCTCTGAAGTTTCACTTCACACTCATCAGATTGGCAATTGTGACTAAAGAGGAAAATGCTTGAGGGCGTGTGGGAAGACATGCACATAAATGTCCACATTGCTGGTGGAGCTGGGAATTGGTCCAGCTGTTCGGTTACCATTTGGAATTGTACTGGAGAAGTCAGGGAACTGTGCATACCCTTGGACTACCACACTTTACCCCCAAGGACATCAGAGACAGAGGCAAAGGAACCCTTTATTCACAAATATTTATGAAATTGTTTTATGTGGTCACAAAAGACAAAAACAAACAAACAAAAAAAACTAAACCCTGGAAACAAAGTGAGTATTCAATAATTGGGAAAGGTCAAGCAAACTGTAGCATGTGGAAGTAACGAAGCAGTATTATGCTGAAAGAATTGGCAAAAGGAAGACTTCAGAGAACTTTGAGAAGATGGATAAGTACTGATAACAGGGATAAGGAAGCAGAACTGAAGGGAGAGTTTATACAATGAACACAAAGTAGCAGAAAATAATAGAGAAAAATTCTGATGAATGTAATGATCAATCATGACTTCAGAAGACTGAAGTTGAAGTATGCCTCCCAAAACTCATCTTCCTGAGTTCAAATCTGGCCTCAGACACTTACTAGCTGTGTGACCTTGGGCAAGTCACTTAACCTGGATTGCCTCCAAAAGAATATAACCCCTCCCCCAAAACAAAACAAAAAAGAAATCATGAGTAGGTGTGAAGGCAGCAGATGGTGGGAGTAATCCAGCTCTGAGGTGTGGCAGGGCATGATCAGCCATAGGATAAGGGGACAAGGAGGATGGTGTAAAGTTGAATTGGTTCACCAAGAGGTCAACATGAGAAAGGGAGGAAAGTATAGCCAGGGATAATAGCCTGGGAAAGAATTAAGGGGGTTGGGGTCACATTAAGGATGGAGAATAGGGTTTTGAGCTGAAAGGCCAAAGTAGAATGACAAGATTATGAAAGAATTTCAGAGTTCAGGAATAGGGAAGTGGTTGCTTTGTGGTGCTGGCAAGATCAAGGGTCTAACTACCTCTACGTGCAGCTGAGGTGAGGGGTGAGAAAAGTCATTTAAAAAAATTGTATTAATAACCAATTATTAAATTAGGATTGTCTTTTTCTCATTCAGGGATCAGCTATAGGTCAGTCATCTAATCTCTGAAGGACATTATTAGATGAGATTTCCTAAATCCTCAGGGAACATGCTCCTTGAGCAGGACCCCACTCAACCAGATCTTACTTCTGTTTAGAGTGTAAACAGTCTAATCCAGGTGAATTCCAGCCCCAAAGTATCATATATGCCCTTGCATCCCTCCATTGGAATTTAGGGTAACCCAGTTCATGAAGGAGAAAATCAACCAGACTGGTAGATGGATTCCTTTGTCCAGATTGCTGGAGGCAGCTGAGTCTCATGATCAAGCCACATTCTCAGCAAAGAGCTGAAGCCTTTTAGCCTACCTTCTCATTAATATGCCCACCCTTTCATTAATTGTTCACCCATTAAGGGCAGATTTTTACCTGTCAGGGGCAACTTCTTTTCTAAAAGCATATTAAGGCATTCAGTATCTCCATTTGGTTACCAAGTGAAACCACTGATTGACCATTTATCAGCTAGCCTAATTAATAAATTGATTATTAATTAACCAGAAACTCTGTCTCTCAGGGAGGAATAGTTTATGCAAAATGATTAAGTTGAGCAACTGGGAGGCTACGGTGTTCAAGGAAAAACTAATATGTATGCTGAAGTTCCTAGTATAAAGTCAGGTGAGAAAACACATTTGTATCCTTTTCTAACTTTACACTGGCAAGACATGTTTGTTTTTTCATGAGATATTAACCAAGAAGAGCTTGTTTTGATTCATGATTATCGGTTTTACTTTTAGGCAGAATTTGATAGTTTTTTTCCTGATTGTATTTACTTCCATGTGTCAAATTTTATCACATCTTTGAGCAAATCAGTCAACTTATTAAATAAAGCTGCAGTCATCTTAGTTTTTAAAACATGCTTTGTGAAGATTACTGTGCATGAACCATCATTTCCTCTCCCCCTAAGAAGGAAACAAGCATTTATTAATAGTATTTTATTTTTCTCCCAGTTACATGTAATTTTTCTCCCTCCCTCTTTTCCCCTCTTCTGAAAACAGTAGGCAGTTTGACATAGTTTATACATGTGCTATCATGTAAAAATATTTCCACATTAGTCATAGTTGTGAAAGAAGAAACAGATAAAAAAACATGAGAAAGAATAAAGTGAAAAAAAAATACGCTTCAATCTGCATTCAGAATCCATCAATTCTTTATCTGGATATGGATAGCATTTTTCCTCATGAGTCCTTTGTACTTGGCTTAGATTATGGTGTTGCTAAGAAGAGTCGAGTCATTCATAGTTGATCATTACATAATGCTGCTGATACTGTGTACAATGTTTTTCTGGTTCTGCTCATTTCACTTTGCATCAGTTTGTCCAAGTCTTTCCAGGATTTTCTGAAATCTACCTGTTCATTTCTTATTGCACAATAGCATTCCATTACATTCATATACCACAGCTTGTTCAGTCATTCTCTAATTGATGGGCATGCCCTCAATTTCCAATATTTTGCCACCATGAAAAGGGCTGCTATAAATATTTTTGCACATGTATGTCCTTTACCCTTTTTTATGATTTCTTTGGGATACAGAACTAGTAGTGGTATTGCTGGATCAATGGGTACACAGTTTGGTTGCCCCTTGGGCAGGAAACAAGCATTCACTATATGTCAGGCACTGTGCTAAGTGCTTTACAAATATCTCATTTAATCCTCCCCACTAGGTAGATATTAGTATTATCCCCATTTTACAGTTAAGGAAACAGGCAGGCAGAGGTTAAGTGACTTGCCAGGGGTCACACAGCTAATGAGTGTCTGAGGCCAGATCTGATCTTGGGTCTTCCTGACTCCAGGCCCAACTCTATCCACTGTACCACCCAGCTACTTCTAACAATAATACACTTTCCACCTTCCTCTGGGAACTCTAATCAAACCAGTGTTGCCATTGCTTCTGCAAAAGGCATGACAATCCACTGCCATGTAAAACTTCTCACCATTCCTGTAGCTCCCTAGACCAAACTCTCTTATCTGCCTTAGCTACCTTTCCTATAAATGTGCTGTCTTCTCCCTTTTGGAATGTAAGCTGGAGGATGGGGACTTTCTCACTTTTGCAAAGTCTGTATTTGAATTCCTGGTACACAGTTGCTGTTCAGTCATGTCTAACTCTTTGTGACTCCATTTAAAGTTTTCTTGGCAGAGATACTGGATTGGTGTGCCATTTCCTTCTCTAGCTCATTTACAGATGAGGAAACTGAGGTGAACAGGTTTAAGTGACTTGCCCAGGGTCACACAGCTACTAAGTGTCTAAGAAAGGTGAATTTTCCTGACTGTAGGCCCAGCACTCTATCCACTGCACCACCTAGCTGCCCTTGGCAGATAGTAAGTAAATGCATTTCTATACATCGTGATCCCTCTACCTAGGTAAATGGTTTCCAAATTTCTATGGAAGAAACACTCCTACAGAGAACCTTGCTATGACATTCTCCAATCACAGCTGGGCTGCTTATCAGTCAGCACCAGGCCAAAAACTCAAAACACTGGTCAGATTCCTAGACAATATTTATGTCATTCAACTACAAAATGACCTTCAAAGGCTATTATTTATCCAGTCACCTCAAACTGCTTAGATCTACATCTGACATCCTAATCTTACCTAATATCTAATCTAAGTATGTTGGCCAAAAGGAAGACCAGTGTATCAAGGTAGCAAAATATTTAAATGCTTCACTCCCAGAGCACTAATAAGTGTTTGGTGGGAAGCACGTGCTTAGAGAATATGTATTAACAATTCAAGGGCAAATTTACAGCTTCATAGTGACAGTTATTAGAAGTAGGGCTGCTCTAATCCAACTGGGGGCATCACTCAGGGTTTGAATATATCACTTTAGGATCTGTGTCAAAAGTGCCAGCCTTCATTTGTTTTGTTGTTCAGTTGTGACCAACTTCTCAAGACCCCATTTGAGGTTTCCTTAGCAGAGTACTGGGGTGGTTTGCCATTTCCTTCTCCAGGGTGTCCCCATTTTACAGATGAGAAACTGAGGTAAACAGACATTAAGTGACTTGCCCAGGGTCACACAACTGGTGTCTGAGGTTGGATTTGAACTCGGATCTTCCTGAGTCCACGTCTAGTGCTTTGCTCCAATTAGGTTATACAGACAACATAAATTTGCTCAAATATAAGCTCCTTACCAGCACAGCCTGTTTGATTTTGGTCTCCATCCCCAGCGCCTACTACAGTGTTTGGCAAGTAGATGGCCTTTCTTTCTTTCTTTTTCTTTTTTTAAGGCAATTGGGGTTAAGTGACTTGCCCAGGGTCACATACCTAGTAAGTGTCAATTGTTTGGTCTGAGGCCAGATTTAAACTCAGGTCCTCCTGACTTCAGGGCCGGTGCTCTTTCTACTGCACCACCTAGCTGCCCCTGTTGACCTTTCTAAATATCAGAGCTTACTCAAGTCTTCCTGAATCCAATCCTGGTACTTAATCTAATCTGTCACGCTGCCTCTGTGGAGCCCTTTCACCAAATAACCTCCTCACAAAGAAGCATGGAGGCCAATGAGGCCAGCATTTGGACTATTTCCTTTGCCCCACAGGAGGCAGCACAGGCCCCTGGTGATGGTGGGCAGGTAGAAAGGTCTCAAAACATCCAGACAAGATGGGCACTGAGCTTCATGAATGGCACCAGACAAAGAAAGGTGCAGAGGAAGTTTTTGGAGTCCCAAAAACTGGGTTCAAAACCAATCTCTACTATCTGCTAGCTGTGCCATCTTAGGCAATTCATTTAACTTCTCAGATTTCTTATTTATAAAGTGGGGGTGGGAAGAGGGGTTGGATTAAATTATTCAATTCCCTTTCATTTTTGAAACTATGAAATTTTGGAGATTAGGGTTGTTGTGGAGGCCAACAGAAATTGTGGGTCTCCTTAGTATTAGAGACAAAGGCTGGCCTAGTCTAGAACCTTGAGTCCATTTGGGAAGTGGAGAGATGGGAGGGAAGGAGACTTTCCTGGGGAAAGACAGAGGCTTTAAAAGGAGATAGACGCCGCCCTGCACACACCTTGCTCAGGCTACTCCCAGCATTAGTCTGGAGTTAAATGTTAGGATGCTTTTGCAAGGTATAGAAGCATGCTCATGCCTCTCTGTTCCCTCTTTGGAAAATATGAAAAAATATTACTGTCCTCAGTCCCAAACCTTATCTCTTATCAAATTCTTTTGTTTCATCCTTACCAAAGGCCTAGCTAGTGTCTAAAGGGAAATTTAAAGTTCACGGAAGAACTCTAGAGAATCCTAGAAAGTAGATCAGGAAAGTGACCAGACTAAGAGCAGGGGCATAGCTGGATCGGCGAGTTAGGGAATACCTCCTCTTTCTTCATCCTTGAATAGACTGAATGGTTTCAGGAAGATGTCTCTCCAGGGTGTCAACAATTTAAGTTACTTTACCCGGATTCTTTTTAAATAACTTAAGAAAAACCCCTAAAACTGAACTTTGTATCCTTGCCTGCCTCCCTCTACTATTTATTTATCTGGTTCATGATCGCTATAAAAATATAAACCAGAATGACTTGGGCAGAGTGATTTTCAGAAGAATCAGGAGGATCTGCCCTTTTTGGATCTCATTCTCTGAAAAGCTAAACTGTCTTTGACAGGCTTGTGCCCTAAGTATAGAGTACTTGAGTCTTTATTCCACAAAAAGCAACAGGATGTGGAGTAATGACGATGATGTAGCCCCCACAGCTAGGTTAAGTAAACCTAGTCCTATGTACACTTGGCCACAAGAAAACCTCTCCCTTTATGGATAATGGCAGACTTGGAGAAAACGATAAATAGAGGCAGCTCAGCTGTTTATTAAATCCAGGAAATGGCTCTCTGAGATCAGGTAATAGAAAAGTTACTATATACCTTTAAAGGCTAGTGATTGGGGGTGTGGGGGAGGGGGCGGGGAGGAGCACGGGTGTGGCGTGAGGTGAGGCGGCCACCCTGCGCCTCCCCAAGCTGGGGAAGTCCCAGCCCAAAGGCTTGCAAGTTTGTACGTGTCTGTGTTCTGGGACTACCCCACAGTCTCACATTCAATGTGCTGCCCCCGTGGGGGGTACCGGGAATCCTTGCCCAGCGGCAGGAACAGCAGAGAGAAGCGGTTAGAGCCGGGCTCTAGTACCGCCCCAATACGGTAGCAAGGAGGGCCATCCGCATGTACATGCCATTCTCAGCCTGCCGGAAGTAGGCAGCCCGGGGGTCAGAATCCACCTCCACACTGCAGGGGGAAAGGACACGTTACTGCAGCGCTCCCAGAAGGCCCGTCCCCAGTCACACCGCAGCCCATAGAGAAGAGGTGCCTACACCCAGAGGGGCTCCTGAGGTCAACGCCAGCGAGAGCCTGAGACGGACCCTAACCACAAACCCTCCTCACCTGATCTCGTTGACTCGAGGCATCGGGTGCATCACGACCATCTTCTTCTTGGCCCGGGTCATGATGTGCGGTGTGAGGACATACTGGCCGAAGCACTGAAGGGAAGAAGAGATCGTCTGGCTCGAGATCTCCCCAACAGCCCAGAAGTCACAACTGTGTGGCTCACAACCAGGGCAAACCAAAGGCGGCCACTGGGATGTGACGGCCTCTCCACCCTGGCTAAGCCACCATCCCGAGCACTCACAGCTTCGTATTCCTGACTGGAGCCGAACCGTTCCTTCTGAATCCGAGTCATGTAAAGGACGTCTGTGTCAGGCAGTGCCGTCTCAATGCTCTCAAATTCCTCCTAGGAAAAGGAAGAAACAAGGTGACGCCCAGGACACCCAGAACCCCCTGAAGCATCCAGGTCCACTCAAGCCAATCTGCCCGGGATGAGCTACCGCACAGCCAAGACGGCACAGAAACAAGGGGACCAGCCTGAAAACCCGAGGCTCACCTGCTTAGTCCCTCTGGAAGCTACAAAAGACAAGACATCAGGCGGCATGCGCAGGCTGGGGGGCGCCACATAGCGAAGGCTGACTCGATACTGGGTGAGGAGGCAGGCAAGGGAGTGCACTGTCCGTCCGTGCTTGAGATCTCCTACCATCGTGATCTAGGGAAAAGAGCCAGGCCTCTTCACTTGGAGGTAACTCCAGCCAAAGGAGCCCTCAGCAAGAGCTTTCCTTTGCTTCACTCGGTTAGAAAATACAGGGGCCCCAGCCCATCTCAAGTCCTTATCTTCTCCTTCAGAAACAACCTGCCCCATGACTGCCTCCAAAGTCACTCTCATCATAGCCAAAGCTAAAACCACAAGGTCCCTCTGGAGGCTGGAGTTTGCTGAAAAAGGTAGGATAGGACCTAGGCCTCAATCAATCGTGGCGGGTCCCCTCTTACCGTCATGCCATTGACAGTTCCTAGCTCCTCTCGGATGGTAAAGACGTCCAGCAAGGCCTGGGTTGGGTGTTCTCCTACTCCATCCCCAGCATTGATCACTGGCCTCCGGCAGTGCTTTGCCGCCAGCTACACAAGAGATGTTGGGGAAAAAGTATATGAACAATTCTCAAGAGAATAAGGGCAATATGTCAGTAACAATCTAAAAAGGTGCCTACTGTTGGTAATCATTATCATTATCATCATCATCATCATCATCATCATCAGCAATGCAAATGAAAATAGGTATATTACTTTCACTGCTTGTGGAATAAATCTGGAATTTATTCAAGGAAAGAAAACTGTTCATAAGCAGTGATCCTACTATGTAATTCAACTTGATTTTTTTTTTTGAGGCAATTGGGGTTAAGTGACTTGCCCAGGGTCACACAGTTAGTAAGTATCTGAGGCCAAATTTGAACTCAGACCCTCCTGACTCTAGGGCTGGTGCTCTATCCACTGCACCACCTAGCTGCCCCTCTACTATGTAATTCAACAAGCATTTATTAAGTCCCTTCTGCATGTTAGGCAATGTGCTTGGAGCTGGGGATACAAAAACAAATCATTCCCCATCATCAAGACACTTCCATTTTATTGGGGGGAGAAAAGACAATACAGGATGTAAATCTGTACTAAACACAAAGTCTTTTGTTGTGGTTATTGGGGAGACCACACTAACAACTGAGGAGGACTGGGAAAGGCAGCCGGCACCTGAACTGACCACTTAAAAGGAGCCAGAGATTCCAAGAGGCCCCAAGCAAGAAAGGAGAACATTACAGGCATGGGGACAACCTCTGAAAAGGGATGGAGACCATGGATCATAGAGGCAGAAATGGAAGGTTATCAGAGGCCATCTAGCCCAGCCATTCTGGAGAGGAAGAAAACTGAGACCCAGGAAAGTTGACTTACCCAAGGTCACACCAGATGCCAACACCAGAGCTAGGGCTCCATCCACTGTTGTGTCCTGAGGGGAGCATTTTGGCTAAAACTGGATGAATTTGTACAGTATGTGTTTGGGAGTTCGGGTTAGAAGGCCAACCACCTCTCAGGCCATACAATTATGGGAAATGCTTAAGAATTGTGCTTTATGAACACAGAGGAGACTCACAAGATATACAGAGTCTCATGTACACGCTACACTTGGGGCCAAACTAGCTTCCTTGTTCTTTCCCACCAACAATGACGATGATGATGACATTCAGCTCCCTGCCTCCCCACCCTACCTCACTTTAGTCCAAGTGTCAAGCTCCCCACAAGGAATTCCTTAACCCCACCTCCCCAGCTGTTACTCTGTGCCACAAAGAATAATGAATATAGAGAAGTCAAAAAAATACGAGGATACTTTTATGAAGTGATGAAGAACCAATAAATTAGAACCGAAAGAACAATATGCCCAACTACTACTAATGCTGCAGTAGACGATGGCTCTTTTAAAGTTGTCTTTAAACAGACAACTTTAAATGGCAACAAAACACAAAAAACAATGGACAATATTGGTATTGACAGGAAGCATCTTTTTAAACAAGTGGAAGCCCTCTAAAGTAAAAGACCACATGTACTAACAGTCTCCAAGGGAGTCCATTCCACTTCTGAATCACTCTCATTGTTAGGGGGCGGCTAGGTGGCACAGTGGACAGAGTGCTGGGCCTGCAATCAGGAAGACCCCAGTTCAAATCTGGCCTCAAGACACTTACTAGCTGTGTAAGGCCTAAGCAAGTCACTTAACCCTGTTTGCCTCAGCTTCCTCATCTGTAAAATGAACTGGAGAAGAAAATGACAAACCACTCCAGTATCTTTGCCAAGAAAATCCCAAATGGGGTCATGGAGAGTCATAAATAACAACTGTTAGAAGGCTCTTCCTGATATCTAAACTGACTGGGTTTTTTTTTTTTTTTTTTTTTGCAGTTTCCACTTATTGCTCCTGGTTCTGTACTCTAGGCCAAACAAAAAAAAAAACATGTTTAAAGCCTCATCCGCAAACCAACACTTCAAATACTTCACAACAGCTGTCACGGTCTCCTTGGGTCTTCTCTCCCCAGGTTAAACACACCCACGTCTTTCAAACGATTCTCGAATGGGCTCCAGGCTCTTGCCTTCCTGGCTGCTCCTCTCTGGGCACTCTCCAGTTTATCCTCGTCCTTCTTACACACGGTGCCAAAATCTGAACCCAGCACTCCAGAGAGGCCTGACTCAGGTCCGCATCACCTTCCTATTTCTGGAAGCCAGGCTCTTGACACAGGACCAGATTAAATTCACTGTGCTGGCCTTCGGGTCAGGCTGCTGAGTCATCCGGAACTTGTTCAAAACAGCTGCCGGCTAAGCATCCCTCCCTCATCTTGTTTGTGAAGACGATTTTTTGGGGTACCCAATGTAAGACTTTGCACTTACTCTGCAGTCAGTTTTTATCATACTATAGCCAGCACAATGCTCTCACCTGTTAAGATCTTTAGGGCTTCTGACAACCATGCTGTGTGTCAGCCATCCCTCACAGACTCAAGAAGCACGCCAACCTCTGCCTTTATCCACAATGTTGATAAACATCAAATATCACTGGGCCAAGCACAGAATGGTCAATGCCCAGAAGATGAAAGCAAGGCCAAGTAATAGAAAATAAATGCAAAAGTATGAGACGTAAAGAACTCTCCAGTTCAGGATGAGCTGAGGCTGAATGACGGGATGCTAAGCACAATCAAATGGGATTCTGTCTATATACGCTGGGAAAAACAGAGGATCTAAGACAGAGGTGGGGAACCTGCGGCTTTGAGGCCACACTGGCCCTCTAGGTCCTCAAGTGTGGCCCTTTGACTGAATCCAAACTTCATAGAACAGATCTCCTTAGTAAAAGGAAGAGAACAGAAGAAGACGCAGGACCTTAGCTTGGGTGGATGGGATGATGGCTGCTGACAACAGGGAGAAGGCAGGCCTGCCTGACTCATACGTTGTTTCTGTTTTCTTTGCAAGAAAATGGCCTTTACACTGGAAATGACAGACACATCAATGACTAATGAGGAGCTGATGCTCAAACATAAATAAGAGAAAGGTGAAACAGTGCCAGGCTGCCCTGGGTGAATTCAAGTTACCCAGTCCAAATAAACTAACTACCTTCTCCGGTCCTGACCCGAAAGAACTGGGAGGTGTGACTTCTAAGCCTTTGTCAGTGATAGTTAATAGTAACACAGAATAAAAGAGGTACCACAAGACTGGAGAAGGGCAAATGATGCTCTGATTCAAAAAGGGGAAGAGAACTAAGTCTGCAAGCTACTGGCTAGCGGGCTTGATGACCTTGACTCCTGGGAAAATTCTTGAAAAGATCATTAAAGAGATAGTTGGGCATCTAGAAAGGGAACCAGGGATTAGAAAGAGCCAGCATGAAGAACAAGTCACGCAGACCACTCTCATTAACCTTTTTCCCCTCAAAAAACAAGATTACTTAGATTCTCGTAAAGAAGGCGGAGAGATATGGGTCAGATGATAATACAGCTGAGACGGATTTAGAACTTGTTGGATGGCTGGGCTTAAAGAGTAGTGGTTAATGAAAAGAAAATTAAAAGGCTGTTGCAGTAATCCCAACATGAAGTGATGATGGCCTAGACCAGGATGCCTATGGGAATTGACAGTAAGGGATAAATCTGATAGACATTATAAAATAAGAATTGATAGAATTTTGGTAAAAGATAAAATTTGGAGATGAAGAGAATAAAGAGCCAAGGATGAATCAAGATTTTCTAGTTTGGCAAGACTGGAAGGGGAAAGGTTTGGCTCATTTGAAGTAAATAGGCAAATTAATGTAACTTCCCATAATTCTTTTTTTTTGGCTAGGCAATGGGGTTAAGTGACTTGCCCAGGTTCACACAGCTAGTAAGTGTCAAGTGTTTGGTCTGAGGCTGGATTTGAACTCAGGTCCTCCTGACTTCAGGGCTGGTGCTCTATCCACTGTGCCACCTAGCTGCCCCTTCATCTCCAAATTTTAACGAGGATTCCTTTCATCTACGGATTATACTAGATGGCCCCAGAGGCACCTTTCAAATCTCAGGTTCTGGAATTGTTTCCCATGGCTTGTACACTGTGGTTAACTTAATTCAGAGTATGCTAGATGTGTTTGTATTTGTTAAAATAAAATTTCTCAATACAAATTCTTAAACAAAACTGGGGCCCACCATATTGCCAACAAAACCGCCCATCCTCTCTTTTGCTTGAGTATCTCACCATCCATAGTTGGATCCCCACTCTCTTCCTAGTTCAGTACAAAAGGCTGATCTCTTTTTGTTTCTCCCGAAGCCCCCAACCCTTCTTACCTCCACAGCTCCAGGCTGGGGGTGCCGGAGGACAACGACATCAGCATAGCAGCTCATGGTCTGGACAGAGTCTGCTAGGGATTCTCCCTTCTGGACAGACGATGTGGCTTCAGAGAAGCTGAGCACAGAGCCCCCAAGCCTGGCCATGGCTGCTGCGAAGGAACTGCTGGTGCGAGTGCTCACTTCATAAAACATGGAGGCCATCACTTTGCCCTAGTGGGAAAGGACATGGGGGAAGCAGATTCACTCCACAGAACACAAAGGCAAGAACCTTCCCCCAGGGCTCCGTCTTAGCCGCAAGGAGAAGAAGTGGCAGTCTATACTGTATCTAATTTGAGAGACACTGAAAAGGCCTACCTACCCAGAAGTATGTGCCCCACTGGCTTGCTATAGAATAGAACATCCCCCATCAGTTTTTGGTTAAAACTTTCTCTCTAGAAATTCACTGTTAGAATGTATATGCTCCCTGGTAAGGGTGGAAGATCTGGCTGGTCCTTTCTAGTAATATAACAAAGCTAACTTAAGTCAGATTGGCTAACTGAGATTCTGCAAAGCAAAGCAGAAAAGGGGACAGGTATGTTTTGTGTCGGGGATAAAAAAGGTTAAGGTCTATTCCATAGGATGCTACACAAGGAAGATGAACCCATCACAAGCTGATACCCCGTAAGTGTAAGGTGGAAAGGAGACACTTATGAAAACAACAGACCATCTTCCCTCTTACTGCTGATGGAAGGCTCACCATAGGAGCCCAACTCAAGCCCTTCTTTCCTACAGACCCACACCTTTGGTTCTGACCTTGAGAATGTCTATACTTCGCTCCTTCTGCACCATCATCCGCAGGGTATGTGCCACATTAAACAGGTGGGACATCTGAAAAGGGTCACAAGTCAGTCAGGGACAACATTTTCTCAGATTTCCTCTTCCAATTTCCCACAGATCCCACAACTCTCCTGACAACACCTCCCCCCAGGCCAGATACCTGATCTTTGGTAAACTGACGAACGGACAGTATATGCTGTCCAACCAGAGAATGCAGCAAGGGTGAGGTCTGAGGATGTAACAGGCTAGGAGTCCCCAGGTTCTGGGGTGATGCCTGCCTAGGCACTGGTGGAGGGTAGCAGCAACTATCCGGAGTTCCTGCTAGATCTGCAGCAGGGGACAACACTGATCAGAGAGTGGCCTACTTCAACCTGGGCGTCAAAGTATTCAACTCCAGTTTCCCTCCATCTCCTCCCTACCAGCCCTGTAACTTCCCATTAGAGAAAGAGTTTCTCACCTGTCTCTACTGCCTTCCGGGAGGGCTTTTCCTTGGGCTCTTCAGCTACTTAGGGAAGAAGGTATGAATAAGTTTTTGGCTGGAGTCAAGAGCAGCCATTCACCTCACAGAATTCTTACTTAGCACACTGTGTATGTTAAACCAGTTCACACCAAAGCAGCCACAGCAGGTTAGTGGAGGGAAGAGAAATAAGTAGCTCCAGTCTACAGGCAGACATGGACACACTGACACACATGGCCTGACCCAGCAAACTGGACACAGGTAGCAGTTCTCCTCATCATCCCTCCCCATCCCCAGTCCTCAGCTCCATGACAGCATGGCTCTTATGCAAGATGGAAAGGCCAGGCTCACAGCAACTTAAGAGACACTCCATGGGGAAACAGCTCCAGATTTACCCCACATTCTGTTGCCTTGTGGGGTCCTGGCTCTTGGGCTGATGAACGTAGCTGCCCATAACAAGAGAGGAGGAATAAGGGGAAGCTGGGGAGGGGACAATTACCCCTGGTCTTACTTATCAAAATCAAAAGATGAAAAAAATGGATCAAACTTGGTGGGAAGGATGGGGATAGGATGGGGAGACAGGAACAGGTAAAGGGAAGGAGTTAGAGCAGGGAAACTCATTAATCTAGGGTGTTAAGCAAGAAGTCAACTTAGAAGAAATGCTGAGCCCCCAGAGACCTACTCTTCTATCCTGGGTCCTCAGAGAAATAAAGGGAAAAGACCATCCCTATAGTCAATATTGGCAGAATTCCTCTCACCTGAAAGGCCAGGGTCAGAAGCTCGGTGGATTCGAGGTGGAAGATGGAAGCGCCCATCAGGAAGGCCTGGGATGCCACGTCGGGGCCTTTCCGGAGTCTGTGAAGGTAACATGGGTCCATCCTTTTGAGGCATCAACCAAAAGTCCCTCCTTCCTTCCCCTCCCTGGAGAAAATCAAACTCACTGTTCTCACAAACTCACATATCCCTTATCCCTCTTCCCCATCACTAAGGAGATGATCCTTAACATCAACGGCAAACTGAGAATGTTCATTTTTATGACATGACAGTGTCTTTAATTTGGCTTCTGGTATAAGTCAGTAATGACACTATGTTTGTCACAAATGTTCCAAATGGCACCACCATTCTCCCCTTTAATTCTCTCATTAATTCTGTGTTTCCTGCAATGGCAAAGTAGAAAACAGGCAACAGGCAGAGTGGTGGTGCAGAGGAAGGTGACAATAATACTGAGGGATTTAAGACCATGTCATGCCAGAATCAGTTGACTTGCCTGGCAAGGGAATACTCGAGGGACGCAGTAGCTGTCTTCAGTAAGAGAGGCTACCATGTACAAGAGGAATCAGACATGTGGCCCCAGGGGACAGATAAAAGAGAAAGCAGAAGCAGATTGGGGGGAAAAGTCTCCATCAGAGCTGTCCAAAAAGTGAAATGGCTGCCTGGGGAGGGAAAAAGGAGGGGTTTCCCCTATCCCTGGAGGTCTTCAAGCAGATGCTAGAGTATTTATAACCTGTGTAGGAAACACCCGCACAGGTATGGGTTAGATCAGATGACCCTAAGTTCTTTTCCAACTGAAACTGTAGTGAAAACATCTGAGAAGCCCCGTGTGGCCCCTCTTAAATCAGCTGGCCATGACCACATGCACCCCTTGGTTCCATACCTTGGTGCTCTCGCTGGGTGGGGCTGAGGGCAGGAGCTGAGGCACCGAGCCTTGAGGCCACTTCCTCACATCTTGTCCGTAGCCAGGAGGTACCAGCACCTGTACACAAGAGAGAGCGGAGAGGACGGGGTTAGGGCGGGAAGACTCTGGAAACAGTGAGCTGGAAGACAGTGGGAGAGCAACCAGGGTTGCAGTCAATGCCTTTGTAATGCCCACAAGCACGAAGTAAAGCCAACATTTGGCATTTGGTTGTCGTCTGGGGATCACTGGCACACAGCAAACTCAACAGACGGTCTCCAGCAGTTAGGAAATAGCTGTTGTGGGGAAGCTGTAAGTCAGGTGTGGATCTGAGGAGTAGAGAGAGTTTCTTTTCACTGGGGAGAGAGGGAGAAGCCCAGTTTGGGGGACAGATGGAAAGAGAGACCCATCTCATAGAATTATTTCTGCAAATAGGCTGCACATAAAAGAAAGGTTACTTATCCTGGTTGGCCTCCAAGGCTGACCCATCATCAGTGAATGGGTGGCAGTTAAAGGAAGCAGATTCTATCTCAAAACAAGGAAACTATTTCCTAACAAATCCAAATGGGATGGGCTGCATGGGGGCTGAGGGTGGAGCAGAGAGAGAAGTAAGTTTCCCATCATAGGAAGTGCTCAAACAGAGGCTGAATGACAAATTGCTTGGATGCTGGGTTGGACTTCATGACCTCAAAGATCCCTTTAAGCTGTAAGCATCTATGAAACACGACCTGAATGACTATGCAAGTAAAGGTATGAAAGGGGAAACAACTGAATTATCTGAACTAGGTAGGGTTAGAAAACAGGAGAGCTTGATCAAGAATTGAGAGAGAGAGAGGGATGGGGATCATGGGCTCAGATACCTGGCCATCAATGTAGGCAACCTCCCCTCGAAGGACAACTCGCCGGATGGTGCCCTTCACTCGCTGCCCCTCAAAAGGTGTCCAGTGTGCCTTGGAGAAGGGCATGTGGCTAGGGATGGTCCACTCATGCTCCAGATCCACCTGTCCCAGACACAAGTGGTGAGTGCGGAGCATAATTGGACATAGCCTCTCCCCAAAAGACAGGCAAACTCAAAACTACCCTCCCTTCTTCCCTCCCCGCTCCCCACCCTCTTTCACACAGGCCTCCATCTAGGGGGTCTTGGTTTCTCTTGTGTCCCTTCCCACCCCAAGCCCACACCTCAACGTAGGTGTCTTCCTGCTGGGGCAAGTGAAAGATCCTCCTGGGATTGTGGTGCAGCTTCTGCAGCAGGTCCTCCAGGCTGAGGCGGCCCTCACTCACAGCCGTCAGCAGCAGGGGGAGCATTGTCTCCAGGCCGGGGAAGCCAGGGGGAGGCTTGGACCCGGTTTTTTCTTCCAGGGTGTGAGGAGCTGAAAGAAAGGGACTGTTGTTGGAAGGACCAAGATGCTTTTCCTACCTGAGGACTCAGACCCACGCAGCTCCTCTTCAAGGGAGAAATGGAAAAGGTGGGCTTGGTTTCCCCAAGCTGGTCTTTTTCTCTACGTGAGCTGAGGGAAAAGCAGAGAGGAACCTTGCCCCTCTCTCCCAGAGCCATGCCCTCAATCAAGAGCTTACCACACTCTCACATCTTTTACCACAGTGAATGCTCACTTCATTGCCTAACTTACAAACCAAAGTAGCACTTGGAAGAAGTCGACATGGGGTCTCCCCTCCTTACCATGGTCGGAGGCAAAGCAATCGATGACAGCCATGTTCTCCCAGAGAGCTTCCACATCCTCAGGGGAGCCAAGCTTAGGCCGGACATCCCCCTTCCCAGGCCCCAGGCGCTCAAGGTCCGCTTGGCTCAGGAACAGATGGTGGGGGGCCACCTCACAGGTCACTGGTACCCCCCGTGCCTTTGCTGCTTTAATTAACAGGATCTGGAGGTTGAGAGAACAGGTAATTCCAGAGAGGGCCCAACTCCGGGGATGATCCCCAGTTGGGTCCCTGTGGACTAGCCAGAAAGATGAAGATCCCAACTCGCAGTCTCCCTCTCTTATCTTGTACCTTTTGTCTATCATATCACCTCATTCCGTCTATCCCCCCTCCACTGACACAGTCCCCTACCCCTCAAACACGCACACACAAACGATCACACAATTTCTTTTGCCCTCAGCTTCTTACCTCCTCCTTCCGAGCCACATGGCAGATGTGTACAGGTCGCTGAGCCAGTTGGGCTACCATGAGGATGGCAGCTACAGTCTGTCGTTCTGCATGAGCCACAATGGGGAGATGGTGTGGCCAAGTCTCAAAGTGCTACGGGCAGAGAAGGAATAATGAGGTAAGTCTAGGATCCCTTTCCCTTGTTAGGCAGTGCCGCTGAATACTCCTGGTCCTTCCTCGAGTCCTTTTCATTCTCCTCTGCTCACCAGAGCTGGCCAGCATTCCACTGTTCCTGTTCCCTAGTCTCCATCCCCCACCTCACTTATCTCAGCACCACCCTCCCACCCACCCAGCACAATCTCTGGCTTCCTACCTCCATCCAATGGGCAAGACTGTCCAGCCGAAGTTCAGAGAATGTTTCATTGAGATACAGTTTCAATCCTGCAGCTGCCCCAGCCACAGCACCTAGGGTTCCTGCATTCTCCGATGAGGCCCCGAGGAACAAGGCATAATCACAGCGGGCCCCCGTCTCTGCCAACTAGAGGACAATGATAAAATACATCAGTGCTGGCCTGGACATCTCAGAGCTACCTTAGTATACCCTCAAGACAACTACTCTAAACCCCTGGGGCCTTATGGTGTTTTAAAGGAGTTAGGGTTTAATAGGATCAGTGAAAAGACCTATTAAAAGGTGAGAAAATTGACCAAGTGAGACTGCATGGTCAACGGTAGCTTCTCTTTGAGTGGATAAATGAAGGGTCTGGGGTCACTCACCTTTTGGGCAAGGGCAAATGCTGGAGCATCGATGATGGGAGGCCGGGTGTTGGGCATAGCACACACCATGGTGACCCCCCCAGCTAAGGCAGCTGCTGTGCCTGATGCAAAGTCTTCCTTGTGGGTACCCCCTGGTTCCCGCAGGTGCACATGTACATCAATCAGCCCTGGAAGAAGGTGAAGAGGGGCGGGTTTACCTCTGATGAACAAAATCTATTAAGGGCACCTGAGGGCTTTTTTGTGTGAGACTCCATCCCACAACAGGAAGAAAAGAAATGAGAAATGGATGAGAAGGAAAAGTTGGAGTTTTCGATGAGAAAGAGGAACTGGTACAGGCAGATAATCATGGGGAGGAATTAAATCTAGGCAGAATTGAACAGGGAAGGCAGAGGAAATGTGTCCACGTGTAGAGATAAACATGGCCTACAGCCCTATTCCCACATGTTCTAGCTCCTGTTACCCAGCTGGGACTTATGCAGAAGCAGAGAACTACCACTGACCTGGCAAACGCACCAGCTTCTGTGACGTCATACAATCAACATGCACCTTCAGTGGGGGAGCTGGCCCAATCTGGCCCAATGCCTGCAAGTGGATGACAATTACATTTTATTTAGGGAAGGTGGTTTTGGGAGTGGCCAAAGCCGCTACTGTGGAATAAGGATTATAGAACAGCTGTATTTTGTTGTATTTTAATAGAATTTGCCATTACTGAAAAGAGACATGGGTAAATTAGATACTGCTACCCCGAAGAACAACAGGAAAATGAATTCCCATGAGAAACCCTGATGCCTTTAGGAAGAACAATGGAAGCATTGCAATCTACTTGACTGAACTCCCTCTTATCAATTACCCATTAATATGTTTCTGAGAATATTCTAACACCCATCATTCTAAGCTTATGTTGCAAATCTCCACTGTCTGTTTCACCTACTTTCATTCAGCTCCTGGCCATATGACTTCAATTATCTTGTCTACTTTGTATTACCTTGGGTTGACTTTTGTTTGCAAAAAGGCTGTAAAAGCTAAAGAGTATGAGGCAGCTAGGTGGTGTGGTGGATAGAGCACCAACCCTGGAGTCAGGAGGACCTGAGTTCAAATCCAGCCTCAGACACCTAACACTCACTAGCTGTGTGACTCTGGGCAAGTCACTTAACCCCAACTGCCTCAGCAAAAAAAAGCTAAGGAGTATTTAATCAAACCTTCAACACACAGAAGCCTGGTCCTGCCTCTCCCAACCAGTGACACAATTCATCCGGTTAGGCAGCAGCAACATTATATACCGACGCCTGCTGTCTCATGCTTTCCCAGGCCCCAGCCACCCAATTTATTCACTAGAAATGCCCTTTAGTGCCAGCACCATCACAATAAAGTCCCAGTCACCTCTACAAACAGCTTAGTGCACTTGATGTCGATGATGAGGGGCACAGAAAAGTCAGCGGCAAGGCGACGGGTCCGGTAGCCCTTGGTTACAAAGGAGGAGAGGCGTCGGCCTCCCGCCCCACGCATTGACAGGTTGATCACCAACTCAAAGTGGTTTTCCGCCAACTGCTCCAGGATGCTTCGTTGTGGGGGACACTCACCTTCAACTGCCTCCTCAAAGTGCCAGTCCACAGCTGTGACCTACGTGCCCAACAAGCCCGGCATACGTCGTCAAAACAAAGAAGAGCAGGGTTGGTCCCTCCCAAATGAAGTGGTACCCAGGGGAAAGGCAGAGTAGGGAGCCCTTGGACGGAATCCAGGAATCAAATGCTTTTAAAATGGAAAGGCCTTCAACGGTCATGGTGCCGGAAAAATGACAGAAATGAGGCCCAACTCAAGGGGTCTAGGCCCTGAGAGTTTGGGTTCAGACCTTTCACATACACCAGAAACCCTAGGGAGACTTGGGTTTGAATTTGGAGTTTGACGTTTCCAAACTACATGACAACACGCAAATCACTTAAATTCTAAGACTCAGTTTCCTCGTTTGTAAAATAGTAGCTCCACCTGCCTCACAGGGCAGCTTTGCTGGTAGAACTTTTGAAACCTTAAAATGCCATAAAATTAATTGTGTTGTTATTTCCCCAGACCAACCCTGGAAAATGAAGGACAAAAACTGCCATCTCTTGGGAGGCTGGGGTGAGGTACAACTGTAAGAGACAGGGGACAGCGCGCAGGTACCTTGACACCGTGCTCAGTGTAGAAGTCCGCAGTGCCCAAACTGGCATACAAGCTGTAGCCTAGACTCTCCAGCAGCCTCACTGTGGGGAGCAGCTCACTCTTGTTCTGAGGCAGGTGGGGAAAGAAAGCAATACCTGACACTGGTGACTTAAAGACAGTTTGGAGACCCAACCCCTCCTCCCTTCTTCAAGGAACCTCGACCCTGACTCTGCTCCCCAAACCCTAATTACCATACCTTGTAACTACCAATAGTCAGCAGGATATTCTTCTTGGGGATCTTGAAGCCGGTGCTGAGCATCGCCTTGAGGTAGGCCTCACAGCGGCTCTCCCCAAAGCCAGCCACCTCCCCGGTGCTGGTCATCTCTACCCCCAGCACCACGTCTGCTCCTGCCAGGCGTGAGAAGGAGAACTGGGGCACCTGAGTGAGGAGGGACGGGGAAAGGGTTTTAAGGATTTCTTTGGAAATGTGATTTCAATCAGGAGGCTGGCTATAGCTACAACAAGAAAGACCTTCACCTTGACTCTGAGGTGGATTTCCCAACCCTCGACTTAAACCCCAGGGAGCAGATCCCAGTCTTTCTTACTTTAACTCCCACCACTCCAGTTCCAGTCATGAGTCCAACAGGCTCCACCTCCTCGCCCATGATGATTCGGGTAGCCAGGGCCACTAGATCCACTCCAAGTGTCTTGGAGACAAAGGGGAAGGACCGAGAGACACGGACGTTGCACTCGATAACCTTGAGCTGGTCATCCTGGGGAAGACAGAGATGGGGATGGTTACCTAAAGCCCACAAGGAGCTGCTGCCATTGGTATCAGTTAGCCTCTTATCCCTCCATCCACCCTGCTTTTTTTTTGTTTGTTTTGCTAGACAATGGGGTTAGGTGACTTGCCCAGGGTCACACAGCTAGTAATTGTCAAGTGTCTGAGGTCACATTTGAACTCAGGTCCTCCTGACTCCAGGGCTGGTTTGCTCTATCCACTGTGCCATCTAGCTGTCCCCCACCCTTTTTCAAACTATGAAGTGTAAGCGTACATTGTGACTGTAATCAACTTGTTACATTCCAGAAAGGATTAAATGAAGATAGGCAAGCAGCCAGACTGTAGAGCCTAGAGTCAACTTCTAACTTAAAATGCTCAGGGGCACCGGGGAAGGCTTCTTGGCATCTTAAGCTGCCAGCAAGCCCACTCCCTAGACACTTTCAAGCTTCAAAATTCTGGCAGATCCCACAAGGAAGGTTTTTCCCTCTCCCACTGTAATCACAAAACTTTAGGTACAAAACACAATAACTCCTCATTACCAAGTTTGGGGAGCTCTGCTCTAGCAGTAAAGAGGACATTAACTTTTAACTTCTACTTCCAATCCAAGCCTTCTCCTGTTACCTTGGCAATGAGCTGCAGATTGAAAGGCCCCGTGACCTGCAGCTCTTGACCCACGGCATGAACAATCGCTTTGATCCTTTCCAATGTCTTGGGTGTGATATCTTGTGGAGGAGTCACCAATGTGGCATCCCCTGAGTGCACCCCCGCATTCTCCACGTGCTCTGAGATAGCCACGGCTACCACTATGCCATCACAGGCCACAGCATCCACGTCAATTTCCTGAGAGCCACAACGCAGAATGATCATGCAACAGGAGAATTCTCCCCCACCAAATAGCAGTGCTCACCCCCTTGTTCGCTAAGTAACCACAACCACGATGTCTCAAGAGAGACAGGAGATGACAGAGAAGGGGACAGAAGATGTGAGCAGGGAAGAAGAGGAACAGAGACATTTCTGCTCACTGTCACCAACCTTGGCCTCTTGGATAAACTTGGAGATGACCACGGGGTGCTCTTTGGAAACAGCAGCTGCACTACTCAGAAAGCGCTCCAGGTCTCCGTCGGTATAGGCCACATTCATGGCGGCACCACTCAGCACGTAAGAAGGGCGGACGACACAAGGATACCCCACGGTCTGGCAGAACTGGCGGGCAGACTAAGAAAAGCAAGGAGGTCAAGCACTGCACGTCAGACCGAGACTCACTTGTGCTCCACAGCCCCCACACCAAACCTACCTCCAAGTCACTGAGCTCTCGCCACTGAGGCTGGCTGATACCAATAGTGTCAAGGAGCCGAGAAAACTTGAATCGGTTCTCGGCAGAGTCGATGGCCTCTGGGGAGGTCCCAAGGATCCGACACTGCTGCCTATGCAGAGCCATGGCCATGTTATTGGGCAGCTGCCCTCCCATAGAGAGGATCACACCCTCGGGGTTCTCCAACTCATAGATATCCATCACAACCTGCAGGGGATGAGATGCTAGGGGTCAGGGAGCAGGCGCTCTCTGCCTACCTCACATGCAACCCAGCAGAATTTCAGTAAAGCCAGTTAACTCTGCCCTTTTCTTCCATTCCCTTACCTCAAAAGAGATCTCATCAAAGTACAGTCGGTCACACATGTCATAGTCGGTACTCACTGTCTCAGGGTTGTAGTTCACCATGATGGTCTTATACCCCATCTGTGACATGGAAATGTTATTCAGGAATGACAGGAAATGTTACTCAGCTAAAGGGTATCAAGGGAGAGGTAGAACTAGGCAGAGAATGAGAAAAATGTCCTTACTGAAATTGACCTTCAGGGCCCAAGAATACCCCCCCAAGAGCTGTCAGATGATGAACAAACTACCTCAAGAATTAACAAGCCCCCAACTACTCAAAACATTTTTGTAAATGCTGGAGTGGGTATTCCTACATGGGTGGGAGTCTGGACTAGATGACCTCCAAATGGGGTTCCTAAATCTATGATCCTATGATAGAAACGAGGTATAGAAAACAGCGGCTTGGATGAATAACCAATTATACTAAGCAGGTGTGGGAAGAAATCTCCTTCCCAATTAATTATGGGCACAACCAACATTTGTCAGGGACAGGAAACATGAAGAAGACCTAGTCCTTCATTTTTGTGAAAGCCCAGACCTTACGCAGCTGCCGGATACAGCCCACAGCACACCAGTCAAATTCAACGCTGGAGCCAATTCGGTAGACGCCGGAGCCCAGCACCAGGACATGGGGAGTATGGAAGGTCAGGTCATGGGTGGTACCCCCATAAGTCAAGTACAGATAGTTGGTTTGAGCTGGCCACTCTGCTGCCACTGTGTCAATCTGTTTTACTGCCGGACGAATGCCCAGTTCCTGCCGTAGTTTGCGGACGGCCAGCTCTGTGCTGGAGAGAAAGTAGGGTCAGAAATGGGCACAAAAGGAGTGCTAGATGAAACTGCTCTAAGGCAAAGATTAGAAAGGAAAACCTGAAATATTTCAAATCAACTACCCAGAGAAAAGACCTTGAGGTCTCCAGGTTTCTCCTCACAAAAACCTACCCCCAACTCCCTCTACCGCCTTGGCGGTCTGGTACCAAGGTTCCCTGATCCAACTAACAGGCCTTGACTCTGACCTGAGCACTGCAAGGGCAATCTGCTTGTCGGAGAAGCCAAGACATTTGGCCTGGTGCAACAAATCAGGGGGCAAGGGCTGCCCACGGTGTTCTTCTAGTTTTCGGGTGTACTCTATAATGCGCTTCATGCACTGCAGAAACCAGCGATCAATGCGGGTAAGCTCATAGAGTCGGTCTATGGTATATCCTGCCCATAAAGCAGCTGCCACTACAAATATCCGCTTATCAGTTGGTGTCTCCAGCTCCTGGGTGGGGGAATGGTTGGAAATAAAGGATCAAGGTTTGAACAAGAATATTGAGAGTGGGGTCAGGATATTCCATAGGGGAAGAAGAATAAGCATTTATTTAGTGGGCTAACAACCATTTAGTATAATAGAACCTTATTTGATCTACCCAACAACCTTGAAAGGGAGGTGCCATTCTTTCCCCCACATTACAGCTAAGGAAACTGAGGCAGAGATAAAGTGATTTGCCCAGGGTCACATAGGTAGTAGGTATCTCAGGTTGGAGTTGAACTCAGGCTTTCCCAGACTCCAAGCCTGGTCCACTGCCCTGGTCCTGATCCACTGCACCACCTGGCTGCCTCTGCCATAGGTCTGTCCCTAATGCACCATTAACCCAACTAGGTCCTAGGGAATGTTAGGGGTTGGCACCATTAGTGACAAGCTAACACTAGGGAAACAGCAAGGCAGGTTTCAGCCATCATTAGAGTGGACGAGGCTGCTCTCTCACCATGTCACTGACAGGCTTCATCGTATGATCAAAGCCAACACAGTTCTCATCCACCATGCGCAAAGCCTTCTGGAATGCCTCCTCAAACCCACGTCCAATAGCCATGACTTCACCTACGGGAGTGAGGAAGAAAAAAGGAGTGAGAGAGTCAGCCTGAAGAGACCATGGAGTATTCAGGCAGGCCTCAGTGTAAGGATATCTTGTCTACCATATGCTTGAATTTTTAGGGGGGAGGGACATGTGTGTGTCTGTGACAAAACCTGTGATTTCACTGGTATAGTAACCTCCCAATAAAGAAACTCCCTCTATGAGGGGGCAGATCAGAAAGGTCACCCAGCAGATAGGAGGCAGAAGAGGACCTTGAAGCCAGGGGTCAGACTTCCTGACTCTAAGCCTGGCTTTTGATGCACGATGCTACAAGGCCTCCCCACAATGTTTTACACAAAGACTTTTCACCCAGTTCAGCCATTTTGGGTTAAAGTTGGATGCAGTTTTATATGTGACCACACAGTCTAAATTATGTATGTATTTGGAGTCTAAAATTGCCACCTAAAATGCTGAAGAATCTTATCCATTTACTTTGTTCCTATTATAATGTCATTATGTTTCCATTATCTCTTTACATTTTTTACAATATCTATTTCAAGCACTGTATGTCTCCTGCTGACATATGATAAATTCTCTTATAGGACTGGCTAAAAATAATAGCTCATGTTTACATAGAGCTTTAAGGTTTGCAAAGTGCTTCACAAATATGATATTATTTTATTTCCACAACAACCCTGAAAGGTAAGTGCTATTATTACCCCCATTTTTACAGATGAGAAAAGTGAGGCAGACAGTGAAATGACTTGCCCAGGATCACACAGCTAGTATTTATTTGAGACTGGATTTGAACCCATATTTTCCTGACTGCAGGCCCTGTGCTCTATCCATTGTGCTACCTAGCTTTTCTATTTCTAAAATTACTATTACAACTGCTATTTACCCAAAATTACTCAAAATCCTTTCAGAATCTGGCAAAATCCACTATTTCCTGATGCTTAATTTTCACTTGCAATATGGACCATGGTTTTGTTAACAGGTTCTCTTTTTTGTTTTAAAACAGTGCAACACACATGAAAATGATAAATTGGTATTGTGAATGCTCAAGGAAACACATGCTATTAAAAAGTTAAGCCATGTCTTCTGATTGCCCTGGTTTCAGTTAATTAAACTGAATCACAAGTATCGTGGATTACACTGTTTCTGATCTTTGATTCAGATATCATCTAAATTGTTAAAATTCCTCTAAAAGAGAAGGATTCCGACACAATTTCCTGAATCACTACTGCTCCTTGGAGAAGGCAGAGAAGCACAACCACATGTGAGGAACACTGGAGACAGTCTTTATGAAAATGCCAAAAGATGCTAAAACGGTACTCAGAGGGGGCCATTATCATGATAAAATAGATACTTAGTGGTAAAGGGGTCTTTTGGTTTCTCACCAACACTCTTCATGCAGCTTCCAATCCGTGTGCTAACCCGTAGGAACTTGCTGAGGTCCCAGCGAGGGACCTTAACCACGCAGTAATCCAGGCTGGGCTCAAAGGCAGCTGTACCCCCAGTTACTGAGTTCCTGAGAAGCAGTGGCCAAGGGAGAGGTGAGGAGAGAAAATTTAATAATGTCCCTTGATGTTCCCATAACCCTTGTAGGACACCCTTTTCATCTTCTCTGTCTAAGAGGACTGAATACTTTCAGTCGAATTCTCCATCCTCCTCAAATCCCTCCCTCTACACCTCATACCTGAGTTCAGGCAGGGAGATGCCCAAAGCTAGCTTGGCTGCTACGTAAGCCAGAGGATAGCCAGTGGCCTTACTGGCAAGAGCTGAACTTCGAGACAGTCGTGCATTCACTTCAATGATATAATACTGCACAAGTATAAAAGGTGAAAGGAAGAAATCAGTGAGTCCAACGCAGAAGCCCAGGGTCTCATTGGCTAGGTAACTCTTATAGGGCTCTTTTTCTACCTGGCTAGAATATGGAAGGGTTAAGAAAGAAGAGTCAATGTCTCTGTTGAGTGAGAGAGAGCAAAGTCCTCCCTAAAATGGATAGCAGGGGAGAAAGAGCTCCACAAGGCCATTATGTCCCAGTAGCAGGACTCGGGAGGGTATGAGGCCCCCCCCCCATTTCTTTAGGCCTCAATGGCTCTATAGTTTGAGGATCATTGGGGTTTTGCTAGATGGAAGGTGGGGTGGGGAGGAGAGAGGGCATACAACCAGTGAAATGTATCTTAGGCAAGATGGGTTTGGGTGGCTATGTGGGAGGGGGAGTGAAGAAAGTTCATAGACATAGGGACTCAGGGTCTTTTACCTGTTCAGACTCAGGGTTCAAGGCATATTGTACATTGCACTCCCCAACAATGCCCAGGTGCTGGGTCACCTTGATAGCAGTTTGTCGCAACAGCTGGTATTCCCTGTCATTTAGTGTCTGGCTCGGGGCCACAACTATAGATTCACCAGTGTGAATGCCCAGTGGGTCCAAGTTCTCCATGTTACATACCTAGGAAGGTAGAGGTTACAGTAAGGGCCAATGCAATAAAAGCATTCGTAATCAATGCAAGGAATTCTTTCTGAGGGTCCCTCCCCCTTTTCTGGTCCCAGGGACACAATCTAATAAAAGTTTTAGCCCTGACCCCTCAATACTTAAAGGCTTCCCATCATCTCCCCTTAACTCTACTGCCTGACCCAAGGACTGTCCAGAATTGGCAGGGATCCCTCCTCTGACACAACTTACCGTGACGCAATTACCGTAGGCATCTCTCACCACTTCATACTCTATTTCTTTCCATCCCTTGAGGGACTTGTCTACCAGCACTTGGCTAGTGTGAGCAAAGGCTGGGGCCACCAGAGAGGAGAGCTCTTCTCTGCTGGAGGCAAAGCCAGAGCCAAGGCCACCCAGAGCAAAGGCAGCCCGCACCAGAACTGGGTATCCCAGTCGTTCTGCAGCCGCTTGTGCCTAGAGCAAGAAAAAGAGAAACAGAGGTAACAGTGTCTGAGCTCTTACCTCCTACCCACACCCAAAGCAAAAAGGGAAAGGATTCAGGTAATGCCCAGGGTCCTGGCCCTACTATACCTGTTCCAGGGAGTTTGCAGCCTCACTGGGGGCCACATACTCTCTGATCTCTGCCATCCTTGCTGCAAAAGCACGCCGATCCTCAGTCAGCTCAATTGTCTCCACAGGGGTGCCTAGGACCCGTACTCCATACCGGGCCAGAACCCCAGCCTTAGTCAGCTCCACACCACAATTCAGCGCTGTCTGGCCTCCAAATGTCAGTAATATACCATCTGGACGCTCATTACGAATGACCTGAGATGGAAGAGGAGCAAAGCATAGTGACAGGCAAGAGGTATAAAAGATCAGAATCCCAAAGCAGCAATTAACAAGCCACTGCCCCATTCTCCAGTGCCACCACCACCTTCTGCTGATAATACCTGGGTCACATAATGGGGAGTAATAGGCAAGAAGTAGACTTTGTCAGCCAGTCCCTGGGAGGTTTGCACTGTGGCAATATTAGGGTTGATTAGCAGCGTTTGAATATTTTCCTCCTTTAGAGCCTTGATAGCCTGAAATTGTAGGAAGCATTTGTCACCACCCAGATGCCAAACTATCTTTGTACCAATCTTCAGCTGTTCCCTAACAATCCTTGGTAATCTTCCCTTCCAACTCTTCCTCACCATTGACCTACCCCTGTCCAAATCTCTGGGTCACCCTCCTCCCAAAAGAATATTCAAGTCTCAGTCCCTCTATCTTACACTTTCGGTCCACCATTGGGTGGGGAGTAACAGACAGATACCAGAAGAAGAAAAAAATGAAGGTGAGCCTAACCTGAGAGCCAGAGTAATCAAACTCTCCAGCCTGGCCAATGGAGAGACCTCCTGAGCCCAGGATCAGCACCTTTCGGGGAAATGGAGGCCTGTCTCCTGGGGTGAGGGTACCAGAGGGACAAAGCCGCTCCATTAGCCTTTCATGAACTATAAAAAGGTAAGAACAGTTAGTCAGAAAAACTTACAGCTAGAAAGGACTACAGAGATTATCTATTTCAACCTCCTAATTTCACTGATGAAGAAACTAAAGCCCTGAAAGATTAAAAAAAAAAAGGAACTTTTCCCAGAACCACAGAGTTAAGTTAGTAACAGAACAGCAAGGACTAGAACCCAGGTTTTCTTACTTCCAGCCTAGCCCTTTTTCCACTAGGGAAAATAAAATGAACCAATCATTTTGTGGCTTAGCCTCAGAACCTTCAAACCATACCAGTTTCCCTAGTCACACCCACCTTATTCCCATCCCAGTGCCACCCCCATCCAATCTTGTCTGCCTTTAGGACCCCAACCTTGTCCCACTCAGGCCCCCCCCCTGCCTTGCCCCCAGCCCTGTTCTCCTTCACGGTCTCCAGGAAGATGTCAAAAAGCAACTCCATATCAGAGGGGCCAGCTCGGTGCTCAGGGTGGAACTGGACGCTGTAGAAGGGGAGCCGGGAGTAGCACACCACCATTATTATAGTTTCTGGTACTGCCAGTCTATTCTTCATCACCACCCTCAGCCCCCATCCTGGATGAAGGCTCTTCTGTCTAGTGACTGCTCCTTTGTTGGAGCAATCACCAGACATAGATGCCAGCCAGTCCCTCATCTGGCCCCCACCTGAAGAAGGGCAGGGTCTCATGTACAATGCCTTCATTGGAATGATCATTGGCATTTGTGAAGAGGGGGGTCCAGCCTGGTGGCAGAGATTCTGTTTCCACTGCAAATCCATGATTTTGGGAGGTTAAGAAGCACCGTCCAGAGCCCCTCAGCAGGCATGGCTGGTTGTGGCCACGGTTGCCATACCTGAGGGAAAAAAAAAATCAGCCAGAATATTTTCTCCCCTTCTACAAATACCAACTCATAACTTCACTTGTCTTTAAAGGTGTCTCACCTTGCCAGACCACATATTTTCACCCCTCCCCAAGCATTCCAAACCTTTTCTCTATTTGCACTAGCATCATGCCCCAGTACCCTCATTCCTCATCCGAGAGGTCTTAGCCCCTTTAACACACACCCTCTTCCCATCCCAACACGCTTCTCACCTCATCTTGTAAGTCTTGGCCCCGATGGCTAAGGCCAACAACTGATGACCCAAGCAGATACCAAAGACAGGTCGGGGGTTTGGCTCAGAGAGGACACGGCTCAGTGAAGATACCACAGTGGGGCAAGAAGCAGGGTCCCCAGGACCATTACTTAGGAACAGACCCTCATACTCTGGTAGGAGCAGAAGATGTGGCATCAACAAAGATACTACAGCTAGAACAACTCTCACTTTTCCCTCGGATAGAACCCATCAATCCCCTGCATCTCGATTTCCACCAACTCTGACTACTGTCAATGATTCCTGGTCACTTGCTCCACTCACCCTGGCTGTCTAATTTGTAGTCCCAAGGCACTACAGTGACCTCAGCTCCACGCTGGCACAGGCATCGGATCTGACTGTATTTTAGACCACAGTCCAGGGCAAGAATCCGTGGGCATCCCCCTGCATTGTATACCCTTGGTTCCTGAGGGTAGAAAAGGTAAGATATAGCATTTTAACAGCTTTCCTCCTCTCACCACTACCTCACCACCTTTCCATTCTTCAAATTAAAAACATTACTCCCTGTTCTCATGGCCCACCTGTACGCAATTGTATTTTTTTTTTAAATTCAATCTATTTTATTTTTCAATATGAATATGGCTTGTAAAAAAAAATTCTAACATGTTAAATATCTACTATGTGCAAGGTGATGGAAATACCAAGACAAAACCAAAACAGCCCCAGCCTTCAGGAAGATGGTCTTTCTAAGGGACTGGACTACGTGGACAATTGTTAAAGGTATAATTGATACACAGAGTTAGCCCTGGTGATACCCAGGCTCCCTCCCATTCCCCAAGGTCCATACCTTAATGGAAACTTCAGGTACAAGAGCTCGAGCATTGGGATCCAAAAATGGCAGGGATGAAGGCTCTATCCCATCTTGCACCAGTTTTCCCAGAAGCGATCCCTGTTCTCGCAACTTCTTTGTTAGTTCCCTTGTATCAACGCCTGTTAGAACAGAAGATCAATCAAGCTCAGCAGAGAGATTAGACTTCAGAGACAAATTTCCCCCTCAGTATCACACAACTATTTCCATAGGGATCCAAGTCCCAGACCAGGGCCTGCCACCGGACCACAAACAACCTTTCCTTCCACAGCCCCAGGACCCCATCCTTCATTCCTGATCCTATTACATCAACCTCTGATCCCAACTTTATCTCATCTCCCCCCCAATAGCAGGTCTTGATTCTCCCCAACTCTAGCATACTATGCTCTCTCTATCCACACCAGAACCCCTCCACTTTCCCCTCTAGTACCTTGGATACCAGGTATACCATGCTCCTCTAGCCACTGGTGCAAGGTTCGGGCAGCACTCCAGTGGCTGGGTGCAGAGCAGCATTCTCCCACCACCAGTCCTGCCACATGAATTCCTGATGACTCAAACCACTGCAAAAGAAAATTAGTGAGAAAGATCCCAGGGGCTACAACACTCCTAAAGGAATAACTGGTCAGAGAAGTACCAGAAACAGGCCCTTAGCACCTCGAGCTTTAAGCAAATATAAGAGCTCTTTAACTAGTCATTCCACCTTCCATCTTTCCTACTCAGCTCCGCTCCCCCACCATTCTATTGTATTCACTGCTAATGACATTAATCTTCCTAAAGTTACTCCCTTACTGGTACAAACTTCAATTGTTGTTTAGTTGTTCAGTTGTGTCCAACTCTTTTGTGATCCTGTGGACCATAGCATGCCAATGCTGTCCACAGTGTTTTCTTGGCAAAGACACTAGAGTGGTTGGCCATTTTCTTCTCCACTGGATTAAGGCAAACAAAAGGTTGTAACCTGCCCTGGGTCACAAAGCCAGGGTCAGAGGCCACCTTTGAAGTTAAGACTTTCCTCATTCCAGGCCAGGGCTCCATTTAGCTGCCTTCAGAAACTTCAACAGTTCTCTATCCAATCCAAATTCTGAAGTCTGGTTCTCAAGGCCTTTCGTGCCTTCTGGGTGCAATCTATCATTCTAATCAAGTCACCTACTACTGCTTATGCTCCAGTTAAACCACACTTCTGCCGCTCAAATAATTTCCTGCCTTCAAGCCTTTGCTCAGAATATTCCCTTCAGCTGATTGGCCTCTGCCACCTGCATTTGTTTCCACCCTTTGGAGACTTAGATCAAATGCCAAGTACTTTATGAAGGCTTTCCTGATCCTCATGAGTTCTTCTTCTAAACTGCCACAGAACTCTGAACCTCTCTTATGGCAATCATTCTGCCCTATATTGGTTATTTACAAATCAAATTAGGTATTACATACAGAATGCTTTACAAACCTTAAAACACTGTACATTTATCAATGATTATTATCATTGCTATTTATTTTGTCCCCTCTACTGCAAAAAGCTCCTTGAGGCCAGTATAGTGGGAAGATTGTTGTTTGTCCTTCAGTTTTCAAAGAGGACAGACCATGGCATCAGGAAGGTGATATCATGACATGCAAGTGAATTGGATTTAAATGAAGGAGGGCTGTGCAAAGTTACCAGCCTCACTTTCTCCTCTGGAGCTATCTGGGTCCAGTGGCAAGATATAGATAGGATGACTGGAGATGGCCCTGGATGCAGTGGGGGACCTTGGCATTTTTAAGCTAAGGTCTTTCCCAGGTCTCAGTCTGACTGAGGCAACACTCATTCAGTAATTAAGGCCAAGTAAGAGATAAGAAAAAGAATGGGCTCTTTTACCTAGTCAAAAATAAAAAGAAACAAAAAAACCTGGGAGGAGAAGACCCCTCAAGGTTTCTGGCCTTTGGGCAGTTAAAAGGACTATACATAGACAGAGCAGAGCAGCAGGGAATAAGTTTATTTTGAGGGGATGGTATAAAAATGAAGATGGTCTCACCCTCTTATTCCTACTCTTCTGACCCCCTACCTCTCCCCAATCCTCCTACAGAGACCCAAGAGACAGAAAGTGCTTTGGGATCCCAGATGGGATGAGAAGGGTCAGAGCCTCAATGGCTCCTGAGTCAGAGCTCTCCCTCCAATTGGTACTCTGCCCTCCCTGTATTCCTTTCCTCAACGAACACACATGCATTATCTAGACTGACTGCTTCATCTAGGAGGCAGGGAAGGTTGGGGATGGGGAGAGCTCTTGAATGGAGCTGATGAGGATGGGATCTAGACCCCAGAAAGGAAAAACCCTGGACTTTCCCACAAGGCCAAATCTCTGGCATTCCCCTGAGGATATAATCCCATCAACTGGCCTTTCACTGTGGTTACACCCAATCTCCCAGTTCTCTATAACCTTTAACCTAGCCTAGCCCTCCATTGCCCCCCCCCCACCATATCCCACCCTTAATCCTAGCTAGGCTCCATTCTCCCTTGGCCAGGTCCCAGGAGTTCTGTTCATCCCAGCTTACTGACCACTCCCATCCAGATCTCCCTAGACCCCCTCTTCCAGTCACCCCAAACTACCTGGCCACTCCTAGATCCTCCCACAGTCTTTCTGTATATAAGGTCCATCTTGTCACCATTAAGGTGCTCAGATTCTTATAATCTGGTCAACAGCTCACTAATGTTCAGACTCCTTAAGAATCTGGCCAATATGATGGATGTTCTAATCAACCATGTCTTTGGCTGAAAGAAGACTTGGGTCGAATTCTTTCGGGCAGGACCCGGGCATTGTGATTTTGGGGTCCCAGTATTCCTACCACTAAGGAATGACCAGGGGAAGCCTGAGGCTGAGAGACAAAATCCAGTCTGGGATTGAGCCCATTGGCAGGGGTCCTGAGGGCTCTGAAAGAAGAGGGTGCAGGGAAGCAGGAAGGCTGGCGAAGAGAACAAGGACACTCAAGTATCAACAGCGTTTTAGGTGTGCAACCGAACCTGGAAAAACAGTATGACTGTGTCCTGACGTCTAACTAGAAGATGGGGAAGACTCCCGGGACCCTCCAGTAGAGTGTAGGCTTAGAATCCCTACATGGAAACTAGAGACAGGGAGCCAAATGTCTGGGATCTGACAGGGAAGCAGCCCAAGAGCCATGGGGCCAGGCAAGAGTTTTGGTTCCTGCATCAAAAGAAGGGTCCTGGGGGCAGAAAGATAAGAGCTTGCAGGAGCCTTACGGAGGCCAGCTCTGAAGGCAAGACAATCAACACACTAAACAGGAGCTGGGGGAAGAGCGATAGGGCACCTGGGTCCTGAGGGGAGGCTGAAAGTGGGACTCCTGGGTCCCTAAGTCTGAATTTTGGAAAAGTGTGACCCATCGGTAAACCTGGGGAAGAGGGTAACTGTGGGTATCTGGGAAGCGATTGGAGGTCTGGAAAAGAGTTAAGGGGCCAGGAACTCATCAAGGATTCAGACCTAAGAGGGAGTTGTACTCCTGGTAGATGTGGAGGATGCTGCCACGAGGGCAGATGAGGAGGATGAGCAGTCAGCAGAAGCCAGGAGGTGTGAGGGGCCCTGGCTCAGACCTACTAGGGAACTATGCCAGCAAAGCTTGCTTCCAGGAGGCAGTTACCTCAGCTTCAAGATGTAATGGGAAGACTGAATCTGGAGTCAGTGAACCTGATTAGCTATGTGATTTTGAACAAGTGACAACATTTTAGACTATATTTTCTTATCTGTAAAATAGGTCTGATAGCTGCCCTACCAATCTCATAGCAATACTGTGAGGATCAAATGAAACTGTTTTTTAAACTAAAAGTACTATACGAATGCCAAATACTATTAAATGAATCATCTTCCCATTCCTTCCTTCCCTCAGCAAGCACCCAGCAAGAGTATCATATTCATAGGCAATCTATAAATATTTTAAGTCAAAATGGGTGTGGCAACATCCTTTAAGATGGGGTTCAAGTTAAGAAGGCAGACAGTGCAGACACCAAACCTACTGTCCTTATCAGCAGCATCCCAGTTGAGTCACCAAGTTACAGATAACCTCTGAGTCCTTAGGGCTCCTGATTCGGGATGCTGCTGGTTTCCTTCCAACAGTACATGGAAGAAACTCAGTAAATGTTTGCTAACTGACCAGAAAGGGGTAGAAATCGTGTTTACACGTGTATGGGGGTGGGGAGCAGTGAAGGGGACAAACCCTTTCTCTCTAGATCTTCCTTCCTACCAGCTGTGGCTGTGGAATGAAGACAACTAGGAGACCAGCACATCCTAACCCTTCCCAGGTAAACTGCAACATGCTCTCTGCAAATGGCAATAACAGAAGACAGAATGGCTTCGGGCGGGAAGGACCGGCGAGGCCCCTGTACCTGGCTGAGGCTAAACTCGTCCTCTTCTTCTGGAGGGATGCCATAGTTTCCCACGAGCGGATATGTCAGGACCAGGATCTGGGCTTTGTAGGATGGGTCGGTGAGGGCCTCCGGGTAGCCCACCATGCCAGTCTGGAACACTGGGGGAAGACAGGTCGGGGCAGCTCTCAGCAACCTGGCGTGGGGCGCTGGAGAGGGCACCAACCTGGGGAAGGCGGTGGGTCCCGCCAGGGGCCGGCGGAGGGAGAGGGCCTGGGAAGCCTAAGCTGGGGGACTTACCCACTTCCCCGGCGGCGCATATGGCCGCGCCAAAGGGCTGGCCGCGCAGGACCGACCCGTCCTCCAACACCAGCGCCGCCATGGAGCCGGAGCCGGAGCCGGAGCCGGAGCCGGAGCCGGAGCCGGAGC